TGTAACGGTTTTAACATGTTAGTGAATAATTAATTAAAAAAAAGTGTACTTTTTTTTGAAGAAAAATAAAAATAAGTTTTATTAAATGTTTTATTAAATACGCATATATATATATATAAATGTGTACAGTGTAGTTCTTTCTTATTCAAGCATTTACCTTTTGACCAAAATTACTTATTCAAGCATTTACCTTTTGACCAAAATTACAATAATGCCCATTGGCCGAGCCGCCGAATAAACAATCAAGACACTATTAATATTTACAAATATGCCACTATTTTTTTACTAAATAATGACTAGATTGACCAAATCTGGTGCGTGAAATTATCAAATCCAATGGCTCATGTTTATTTTTACTAGTACAGAGTCCGTGTGATTCACAGGATGTATAATTTTAAGGCTATTTATCCAGACTTATAATTATATACATGAATAAAGAAAAATGTACGGGATATATATAGTACGTGACCCGTGCGAAGCACGAGATACATTTATTTGGAGAATATTATATTATAAGATACAATATTCAATAAAAGTTTATAATACGCAAGAAAATTGTACAATATTCAATAAAAATTTTATAATATTCAAGTGGAGTCTTAAAGTCTCATGTACATTAAGACTACTGACAAAATAATATTTTAATCAATGAGTTTCTTTTCCTTGTAGCCAAATTGTGAATGTGATTTGAGGAGTACAACAAATCGATATATAGCTGACTTATTTTTTTCATTGTAATTTTTTTTTCTTTTTTTTATAATGAATTTAAAGATATTCTAAAATATAGCAAAAATTAATTTTTTTTTATTACAATTAGGAACTTTTACTAAATATAAACTCTCAATCTATCGTGTTAATCAACGTTTAAGTCTAAAAAATTAGGAATATTTACCTCTTTTAATCAACGCTTAAGTCTAAAAAACAATAGAGTTCTTATAAGTTTTTTTCTACATCTTTTAAAACATTAAATATGAGCATGTTATGGCTAGCTTGTAAAATAATTAATATATTATCTCACTAAAACATTTATACTAATAAAAAATTAATGTTAGCATATAAATTTATCCCTTGATATAAGAGAAAGTAACAGTTTTACTTATTGTTGTTCACCATATAATATTTAATTATTATTTTATTATATAATAAAAAATAAATATTGTTAAATAGTGTAGTCGAATTGTTATAAAATTATATGATTTTTTTTTTACAATATGAATTTAATATTTTTTTTATGATTTGATAATATAAACAAATCTATACTTAATTTTGACAAATAAAACAAATAAATACTTTAGTAAGTATTTAATGTATATACTAAACAGGAATATATTTGGTATAATCAAATACCAAATATAATCAAATAAGTCAAATTGTACATTTTTATTTCATATTTGATTTTTTTATTATTAAAATCTTTTTATTATACTTACCTTTTTAAAATAAAATAAATAAATAAATCAATTAAATAAATAAAATATTATAATACCAAACTAGTAATGGCATTTAATGCAGTTGACTTTTCTGGATAGTAAATGTAGTAAATAAAATCTCCTTTTATATAAGTATAGATTGTATAATACGGAAATAGTAATGCAATAAATGTTGTTGACTTTTCTTTATACTAAATCTGATAAATGGTATACTTTTTAATATAAGTATAGATTTCTTTCACTAACACATTTTCTTATTTGATCCTACTTCTATATATACGTATTTTCATCATAAATGTACAACCTCATATCTCTAGTGATCCCTTTACTTTGGCACCATTCCATGATAGTCATCAAACCTAGTTCTTGCAGGGTGACATAATCAATTATAAAAATTTTAACTCCTTCATATTTTGGTGTTGGGACATAAACAAAATTTTCATTCCAATGCACAACTAATGAGATAGAATCAGACAAAGGATCTATATGTTTTTTAGAAGAAAAAAAAATTGTCAACCCCAGACAATTGAATATAGAAATCACAAATACCCCACGTGAACGCTTAGACCCCACATAGTTATGAACATTTTATAAATCCTAATATAGTAAAAAAAATTAAAAAGGAGGAAATTATTTAAAAAAAAGTAGACCACGAATAGAACAAAAATATGAAAATACAGACAATAAGAGCCAAAATTTGTAGGTTTATTGCATTTAACCTGAAAGCAATAAACAAAACCGAAAAGCCACAAAAGGGAACTTACGGTATATGAGAGGAGGCAACTTTAGATACAATTATTGACGGAGGAATCTTATTTGCGTTCAGCCTTACACTCAATTGTGCTTTCGATCCAAACCCATTTAGCGGCCAATTTGGGGATTAGGGTTCTACAAGTTGGGGAAAAGGAATTTCTCAATTATGTGGAATGTACAAGATGTGTACTAATTTTAAATAGATATTTTTATATAATTTTGCACAATTTAAATTTTATATACCATTTTTAATAAATTATATAGGTACATTGTATTACATATTGATTTCATGTTTCTAATTTATATGTATTATTTAATAAGAATTTTTAATTTATAAATATTAATTAATATTTTTTATCCGTGCATCGCACGGGATTTGTACTAGTAACTATATACATGGTCACTAACATATATTTTAGGTCAAAATTTAAGTTATTAATTCAATCTCCATTTTTTTTTAGTTATTGTTGCCTGAAGTATATTGTTTAGATTATTATTAGATGTTTTTAAATTTACTTGTTAGGTTATAGGTTTAGGGATTTAAGTTAGTTTAGCTATGGTAATATTTTGTTCATTTTCCAGAATAATATTAAAAACTTTGTTGAATACTTTAACTTTAGCTTATTTAACGTCAATACTTAAAAAAAAATTAGGGGAGATGAATATATATTAACTTATTACTTGTTCAAGTAAAGAGGCAAGATGAATATAGCATTAAAATAACACCTTGGGTAAATAAAAAAATATCATTTCACTCTTAAAATTTGGAAACATATATAAATCGTCTTATTTCAAAGTAAGTAATGTTAACTTTTCTATAAACCAGAAATAAACTAATCGAAAAAAAAAAATTGTGCTCTTTTAGTTGCACATCCAACACTTTTCTTTATCCAGACTCTCACTTGGAAAATAGTGTTTTCGCCAACTAATATAAATTTATTTCTATATCATTTAAAGTTTATGCATTCCTTAATAAAATACTATTGTCACCAGTCTTGGAATTTCAGTAATATGACTAGATTTCCCTTTTCTTTTTTTCATTGACACCATAATTTAAAATTGAAATTATGTCGTTCAGACCCCTACTTTTTTTTACCATTCACAAATAATGTGATCATATATATACTACAGATAAAAAATTTAGAAAATAATTTTACATGCTAGGCGTGTATTCAATTGGGATTTTAACTGACATTTTAAAAATTTTTAAGATTTTAAACTTTTTAAGATTTTCAAATTTTAGAAGAATTCTATAATTCTTAAGTATGAGGATGGGATTTGAAGTGAGATTTCGTATAAGGATTTTTTGTTTATAAATCCCACCAAATCTTAAAAAGTCTTAACAAATTTTAGTGTCAAATAAATTAAATACTTCAGGATTTTGTAAGACTTTATAAAATCTTAATTAAATACCTCAAGACTTTTAAAAGTCTTAACATATCTAAATTGAATACACCCGATTTTTTAAAAAGTACTTAAAAATCTTAATTGAATACAGTAAGTTCAATATAAATTGCTTGTTAAACGCACAAACTAATTAATAAACCTATCTTCAGAAATATCATGCTCAGTTAACTATAACATCTAAGGCAGTCATATATTTTTGGAAGCACAATAAGCTACCGGTGGATTAGAACATGAATTAGAACATCTCCAATAGTAAAATGTAGTTGTAGTACATGACATTCTATATTAACAAATTTAGCAATGTCTCAATTTTTATTCCTACAATGCACAATGTAATTACAAATGTAGTGTTGAGGTGGACATAATTAATGTCTACAATATACATATTTGGTATTCCAAAAAAACTGATTGTACTTATGAGAATCACGACATTAAACAAGAAAGTTGAAAACTGTGTCT